TTAGCAAGACTAATTGCCTACTGATGTCAGTACTAGTTTGTGTTAATAACTGCAGTTTGTAGTTCATAGAGTTGGAGGAGCATGCATTCAGAAGTAGTTTTGAAATATTAAAAAATATTTTAAAAGATTTTATTCACTTTTATTTTCATTTTAGTTTTTTTAAAAGATACAATTTTAAAGGAAAATGGTTGAACATAGAGATTTTCTTTGTTTGGTATGATCTAAATTGATCAATGGCATTTTTGAAATTTTCCTGAAGTTAGATAGAATATATTGGCTACACTTTTGGCATTTGACATTTTTAAATTTGATTTTTCAATTACAGCTTACATTCACTGTTACTTTGTATTAGTTTCGGATTGGCATTTGAATTTTTATTTCAAACTTTTTTTCTTTAAGGTTTGAACAAACTTACAAATGCATATCTTAAAAAGAAGTGTCATTATCTACTTAAGTACCTATAAGTAATTAGTTTATTAGTATTGATTAGCATGAATTATGTCTGAAGGACTAAAACATGTGAAATAAAATGGTAGACACTAGGTAATTTTCTCTGAACTGACTATATAAGATCACAGGGAAATTTGATTTCCTACAAATTATTTGTTGTTAATTCTATATTCATACCAAGGTATCTCTTGCTTAGATTCTCCAATGGTATTTCTAATCATTTCTTCAATCAACAGTGATCAGCCATTATAAATGCTTATGTGATTTATACAGATATTTTATGCAAATATTGCCTATATATGGTATAATACTTTGATCATATATGTACTTGATTTTTATAGTTAACTAGAGGCCTTGGTGCATGGCATTCATGCACTGGGGTGGGGGTAAGGTGGTCCCTCAGCCCAGCTTGCACCCTCTTGCAATCTGGGACCTCTTTGAAGATAGCTGACTGCTGGCTTAGGCCAACCGCTGTGCTCACCAGCTATGAGACTAGCTTCTGACTGATCGGTGCTCCCCTGGTTGGGAGCACACTGACCATCAGGGGGCAGCTCCTGCAAAAAGGGCCTGCCCTCTGTTGGTCAGTGCATGTCATAGCTACCGGTTGTTCTGCCATTTGGTCAATTTGCCTATTACAGTTTTATTATATAGGATTCAATAAGATGCTTTCTCCTTTTCCTATCATATTTTCTCAGTTTTTAACCTAATACTTTCTTTTCTCTGCTCAAGGATTACATCCAAGAAACCATATTACATTTAGTCGTCATATCTTCTCAGGCTGTGACTATTTTTCAGAATTTCCTTGTTTTGATGATCTGGATAGTTGGGAGCACAATGTTTTGAACTTTCTTTAAGCCCTTTTAAGTTGTTTTCCAGAAAAAATAAGTAAGCAGTAAACTTTACATTCTCTCCATGCTGCAGATGAACTTCTTTACCAAAGACGATTAAACTCAAAAGAAAAAGAATTTCTCATCTAGGAAGGGCAGCAATCAACACATATTATTCTTTAGTGCACGTATAGTTATGAGAGTGTACACCCACATTATTTGATTTTCCAAGGTCAAATCCAAGGTGTACAAAAAAAGAAAAAAAGAATAAAGAAAAAAATTGGGAGTAATTTTATCCACAGAAAGGGTCAAACACTATTTACAACTTCTGCTATGAGCAGATGTTTTCTGGCTTCATTGAGCCTGGATCAAGAGATTTATGCTGCTGCATGAGAGACACAGACAGTAGGAGGTGACTGAGAGAGCTGTTGGCAACATCTGATAGTTTAAGATAAATTTAGGGTCTTTTCCAGTGGAAGTTTTTTTTCTGGTTGCTATTGTTTAGGCAGGGCCTGGCAGTCAAAGAAACTAGGTGACCTTCCTAGATTCTTTTTTTTTTTTTTTTTTTTTTTCAATTGAGCTTATTGGGGTGACATTGATTTGCAAAACCATATAGGATTCAAATGCACAACTCAACAAAACATCATCTGCACACTGTGCCATGCCTACCACTCCAAGCAGTCTCTTTCCATCCCATTCCCCCCCTTTACCCACCTCCACTTAGTCCCCACCTCCTTTCCCTCTGGCTAGCACCACACTACTGTCTGTATCAATGTGTTATGTTTATATGTGTTTTTTTTTTTAAAGTTTTTTTTTAGTGTAAGTATGCCCCATACAATATTTGGGACATGATTACGCTCCAAATTTGTTGTTTATCTGGACATTCACTGTGCTGTGTTTTCTCTGGCAACTGTACTCTGTGCCATCTCCTTAGATTCCCCTAGGTGTGTGTGGCTAGAGAGGGGGGAAGTAAAAGGGGGAAGAAGGGTGTACAATCTCCAGCCTCAGACCACAAATCTCAGAGAATGGTTACTTAATGTGAATGACATATGTGATGTCACCTATTCTCAAAGCTACCCCAGGCTATCCTTTGAAAAAGATAAGGCCCTCAGATCTCTGTGACATTATTCACTTTATTCTCTTCATTTTGAACAGATACTCAATAGGTCTGTATCATAAACAGTATTCTTTTATACATACAGATCTGGAAGAAAATTAAACCCAATGGGATCTGAAACAAGGGCAGCAAAGTAGACTTTCCCCACAGCTACCTGGTTTCCTGTCTCCCTTCCCCCATGCCCCACAGGATCTGGACTTATGGACCAACCAGTGGTTAGTTCCATAGCTCTCTCCTGCTTCTCCTATCTAACTTTTGGTTTTCTCTGATAATGGAGAGAATAAGAACAAAGACTCCTCATGCATTAGATAACTGAAAACTAAGTATTATTGTAGAACAATTAAGTGCAAACAATGTTACATGCTCAGGCATAATAAAAAAGACATAGGAAGAATAATTTAACAAACTAAAGAATCCGCAACTGATATAAGTATGCTCTTGGCCTCTAAGAAAGTCAGCAAAAGAATATGCTTGATATATTCCACAAACCGACTGGGTCAAAATCAGAGAGCATTTAAAAGCCTTTGCAAAATAGAGTTGACACGCCATAATCTTTTAACAGCATAAATTCCCATTAGCATCAACTGCTACATAAATAAGGTTCATTATAGTGATTAAAATGTTAATTTTTAGAGCAATCACAATTTCCTTTAATCTTCTAGGGCAGTGTTTTATAAACTACAGGTTATGACCCATTAGTGGGTCATGATACCTCTTCAGTGGGATATAGTCACATTAAAGATGATAAAAAAATATAGAATTTCACCATCCAGAATCTATGAAAACATTAACTCACCTTAATTTCAGTTTTCTAAATATGTATAACTACTTGATTATAATATAAAATATACTCCTATGCTCTATTATGAATAAAACAGTCAGAAACATTACAACAAATAAGTTCTAAGACTGATTTAAAGGAAAAGCATAATTTTAAATCACAAAATACTGAAAGAGGAAGAAAATATTTTCAATGGACGATATTATGATGACTAATATGTTTTTATTTTTGTTAATCCTCACCTGAGGATATTTTTCCATTGCTTTTTAGAGAAAGTGGATGGGAGAGATTGAGAGGGAGGGAGAGAGGAAGAGAGGGAAGAAGAGAGAGAGAGAAAGAGAGAGAGAGAAAGAGAGAAAGAGAGAGAGAGAGAGAGAGAGAGAGAGAGAGAGAGAGAGAGAGAGAGAGAGATGTAAAAGACACACTGATTGGTTGCATCCTACATGCACCCCAACTGGGGCCAGGGGATTGAACCTGCAAACCAGGTACATGTTCTTGACCAGGAATCAAACCCAAGACCCTTTGTTCATGGGGCTCATGCTTTAACCACTGAGAACACTGGCCAGGGCAATAGTAATATGTTTTAATAATTGGGCCATGTCTCCATTTTGCTCCACATCTTATTACCAATGGGACCAGAATGCCTTGGAGGTATATATAAGTGAGGTCTATGAGTTCAAGCTGTCTGAACTTGGGCATATTATTGAATTTCCCTATTTATAAAATGGATCTTGTAATGAACTGGTCAGATTAAATGAATTTATACATTGAATGCATCTAACACAGTGTTGGGTACTTAAAAAATCCTAAATGTTAGCTATCAGTTTTATTATGGTTTCTTAGTTTTATATAAGACTATAGGGGCCTGGTGCACAAAATTTATGTTCTCAAGGGCATCTCAGCCCAGCCTGTGCCCTCTTGCAGTTTGGGAGCCCTCAAGGGATGTCTAATTGACATCCCTGGAAAGTGGGCCTAAGTTGCCAGCTGTGAGCTCAGGGCTTCTGGCTGAGTGGAGCTCCCCCAGTGGGAGTATGCTGACCACCAGGAGGCAGTTCCTGCATTGAGGTCTGCCCCCTGGTGGTTAGTACACATCATGGTGACTGGTTGTTCAGTCAATTTGCATATTAGCCTTTTATTATATAGAATTAGCAGATATCAGAGAGTTACTTGCCTCAACTTTTAATTTTGTCTCATAAATGGAGAAGGGGGCCCAGGGTATGCTTTGTGGTTCAACCCATGCATGGTCCCTTAATTATTGTGCATGTATATATTTTTTTATTTCACTGGTATCAAATGCTTTAGAGCAGAGGTTCTTAACCTGGGACAGATGAAATACTTTATAATGTTCAATTATAAAAAGTACAGTAGCCTACTTTTTTGGTTTCTTTCTCTTTTGCTCTAACTGGTTTTAGAAATTTTCCATTTTAATGTATTATGATATCTCTATGTCTATCATCTATCTATCTATCTATGCCAAATTAAGTGATTTTTAAAAGTAATTAGGGCAATAATTATTAAATAACTTCAGTAACTCAGTTTCTTACATATTACAGTAGCCTGTTAACTTTATGTAGTTTTATGATTCAGTGGACATGACTGAATTGTAGTATACTTAAGTTTTATAAACTTGAGTCATTCTATAACAGCTCCATTATAGAAAAAATTTAATAGCAGTAATAGTGTCTTACAGGAGAGGTTCTTATGCTATCCAGGATAGGATGTGTCATGATATCATATGGATTTATAACCACTATTAAGGTACATAAAGTTGCTATGTTAATTGATTTAAATTATTTTTGCACTCTCTGGACACAGCAACTCTTACCTTTGAGCAAAGCTGTCAGGATAGCTAAATCAATGTCCTGGTGTCCTTCTGATCCCATCCGAAATACTGTAATCTGCAATGTGAGACATGGCCATTAGCAATGTATTTCCCCCCCAAGAGAAATTAAATTATTGAGATCATATCTGAATGCAGACTATTTCAACATCTTTAAGGCAGATTCTTAAACACAGGGAAAGCATACACTGCAAGTACAACTAGAGGGCTCTGCAGTTCACTGAGAGGGAGATGCCTCAACCACCTCCTTCCAGAGACCATCTTAGGTAATTGCATTGATTACAGTGACAACGAGGAGAAACCAGAAACCAAGGACAATGTCCTCTACTAACCTTTCAGTTGTAAAATTAAAACTTGTCGTATTTACAGAAATGTGTAAACCATAATGTAAATGATGAGATGAGTAATTAAGTGTTTAAAAATAGTGAGTTAGTGTGTCCTTCAGTAAATGGCCCTGTTATGTGTCTATATGCATGCATGTATATGTATGTGTGCAATATAGCCATCCCTACACTTACTCCTCAGCAATTGTTACTCAAGGGTTTCAATGTTGTGATGCCTCTGGATCCTTCAGTTCTTTCCATAACCTTGAAACATCTTGAGAATAATTAAGTAGTCTTTCCAGGGGAGAAAATTGTTTTCTGGGGAAGAATTAATACATGTTGGATTAACACAAAGCCCCCAAATAATGCTTAAGAACAATAAAGACTTTTCTTCCCCCCCAAGTCAGAGGGAAGCTACTTAAGGAAGCCAAAAGATTTTTAGAATAGCTACGTACATTGAATTACTATTGTATTCCACTACTTTAGGCATTGATTTTCCTGTCTGTAAATGGGAAAATAATAGTGCTTGCCTATTTCCAATTACATAGGGAGTAAACTTTATAGAATGTGTTAATATATAATTCTAAGTTTTTCTACTCTGGTGGATAAAATGGACACAGAACCATCAACTGTTAAACTCTCAGTTGCCTTAGAAATTTTCTGGTCTAATGCACAGAGAAAAAGACTTAATGCTTAAGGTCAACAACTAGATAGAAGGACAGCTGTGGCTGGAACACAGTAAATCTCACCTTTTTGTCTTGTGCCTTAATCTTTGGGGAAAACATGAGGGGAAGGAAAAAGATCATATAAGCACTTGTGTGTTGTCTAATTCTTTTGTATCAGTTTATGTCCTGGAATGATTATAAGGCAGAGATTTCAAGATGAAATACCTTCACAGGCACTTGAACTAAAAAAATATAAAAAATACAGAGAGCCAGACAAGATGCATTTAGGTACTGTGTTTGGCTTATGGGTCATAGTCGAGACTTTTGGTAAAACCCATTTGGTAGAGATGTGCCCCAATTCCATAGGATTTCCACAGAAATCTGCTTCTGTGCAACCATAGTTTGGCCAAAGTGCCATTGGACATTGCCTCAAATAGCTCTTGATGCTCCCACAGAATCCACCTGGGAGGTGAGAGACACATCTTATCTGCTCTGCACTCATGGGAAGAAAATTTGAGGTTTCCCTGGATTAAAAATCTGGGGGCAAAAGTGGAATTTTGGCTAATACACACACACACACACACACACACACACACACACACACACACACACACACACATATATATATATATATATATATATATATGTATGTATATCGATTTCTGAGAGGAAGTGAGATGGAGATAGAGAAAGAGATAGAAACTTGACGAGAGAGAATCATTGATCAGCTGCTTCTTGCACACCTCACACTGGGAGATCAAGCCTGCAACCCAGGTATATACCCTAATGGGAATTGAACCATAACTATCTAGCACTGAAGCATTTTTAGGGATAGATCACTTTTATGAATTTTTCAAGTTATTGATCAATTTAGGTTTTCTGCTTCTCCTTCAATCAATTTCATATATTTTCTTAGATAATCAAACATGTCATGTAGATTTTATTTATTTATTATTATTTTATTTATTGATTTAAGGTATTACATATGTGTCTTCATCCCCTTAATACTCCCCAACACTCCCCCTGCCACTTATGCCCTCACCCCCCTGTTGTCTGTGTCCATTGGTTGAGCTTATTTTAAAATTTATTGATATGTAGTTATTCTTAGAACTCTTATTATTTAAATAATCTCCTCTATAATTAGAATTACATGGCAATTTGTTCATTCATTTTTACTTTTCACTTGATCAAAATCATGGTCATTTCAAAGAATCAGGTTTTCATTGTATTGCTCAATAGCATTTGCAGCTTTGCAGGCTAATCATAAGCAAAACAGATACTGCCATTTTGTTAAGAAGATCACCTGTGGTCCTAAGAACCATTATTAAAGTAAATTTCTAGCCCAAGAGAAGATAAAGAAAATCTGGGGCTGCTTTGTAAATGTATGCACATATGTTTGAAGGACATATTGGGCCAGTGCCAGGACATCCTGCGGTATGTGTCTGTCACAAGATAATTCTGAATTTTGTGTTTGTTTGAGTTAAAATACTTGAAAGCATTTGCACATGAAGATGCACAATTATATTTTTGTGTTAAGCAATGGCAAATAAAATAGAAAAATCACAAAGAAACATTACATGGAAGTCAAACCCTCCTAGACCCTCCTCTTCCTTTTAGCTTGCATGCCTGCGAGGGGCTGCTCTCTTCTTGTTCCCGTGTGCTTGGCACAGTCCCTCCAGCAGAGAAAAATCTCTGCTTATTTACACAGTGCCCAGCCTGGAGATGCTGCTATAATTGCTATTTCTTTTTCAGTTCTAGATAGTAATTTGTGTTTTCTCCACAGCTTTTTTCTAGGGCCACTTGAGAGGAATAAGAAGCAAGAGCCTCCTTTATCAGATGACAAGAATGGAAACAAAGGACATCGAAAAGCATCCCTGATAGGTTTTCCCTGTAACCAGGTTTCCCTTGACCCAGTTTGGCTAATTAAAAACGAAGCTGCATTTTCTGACCTGCCAGTGGAAGAACATGACACTTGCTAAATGGTAAAAGGGAGAGCCCATCACTATCATATTGTACCAACTGACAATTAACCTTACTTGGGAAAGTTTTCTATTCTTTCAAGCTCAGAGGGAATTAATTCAAAGAAAGAATGATGCAGTTTGTCAAGTCTACTGTTTTTCCCTTTAGTCCACTAACCCCTCTCTCCTTGGGCTCATTCAGACACACAGCCTGTATCTTCCTATTGAATAGTTGACCATGTTCTCATTGTTGCCCACTACATAAATAATGTTGTTAACTGCTCTGGGGTTAAACATCCTTCAAAAAATTGCAAGATTTGGGGATTATTAACTTTTTTAAAGATGACTAAGAGGAATAGCTTTTCTCCCAAACAAAACAATTATTTTCTCTCTCCCTCTGATAATTAATTTACTGTTCCATGTCATATGTACATGTGTCACACGGGAAAACATGTGGGGAGAAAGAGATTGAAACATGATGAGAATGAGAGAGCTGAGATGATGGTCACAAGAAAACTACTACTTGGGAAAAACTGTAGGTCATTTCTGCCTGGTGTGACTCAAGAACTTCATTGAGAAGTCCAGGATTTGATCTGGACTTTGTGAGGTATTAGAGATTCAATAGGGAAGTGTGGTGTGAGGTGGATCAGGAAGAAGAAAATGATAACAGAAAATAAGAGATAAATGAACATCAAAAAATTACATATGAATATTCAACTTGGCTGGAGCACTGGGTAAAGGGAAGGCGACTTATAAAGGAAGGTGACTTATGAAGGAAGATTTTTAGGATTAAGAAATCTGGACATAATTCACTATATACCAGGGTATATATCAAGCATTTTATATCTATTAATTCTATGAGGCTCAGCCAAGAGCACCCAGGAGCATTTAGCAGGCAAACAACAGAGGTAAGATTGAATCCCAGGTCTGTGCAGCTCTAAAGACTCTGCTCAGAGCCTCTCCAGGTCATAGGTTGGTTGATTTTCAGGGGTCAAGAGATAGGGAGTCATCAAAGGTGACTCTTATTAGTTTTCCAGCCTCATTGCTGAGAGCATGGGACCACTTGTGACAGAAATATGAAAGCTGGAATAATTTGGGGGAAGGTGAAGGGTTTATCCATAACTTATATCCTTTTTGACTCAAAAGTAGAACGTAGGCCCAGGGCAGCACCCTGGAGGGTAGAAGGTGAATCAGACAGTGCTCTGTGCTCTACCAAACTGGATAGAGTCTCTGTTGCTCACAGGCCCTCAAAACCTCTGCACTGATGAGTAAAAAGAGCAAGCTTTGTTGAAATGTCTTTGAATAGAGCTACGCCATGGCCCTGGGAAGATTCTGAAAGTGGGGAAAGGGAGGTCTTTATAACTTTTGAGATTGTAACTGCCACAGAGCAATGTGTATGTATGGGGAGAACCTCAAGACTAAGAACAGAATCTCTTCAAATTGCTCTCTGTGGAGAGCAAAAGAGGAGGGAGGTTTTACACCTAGTCATTTCCCTAACACAACCATAAGGAGATAGGTGCATGTGCACACATACACACATATATACAGTGGTCTCATGAGTCATGTGACTGGGGAATGCTAAATACATAATCATTGTTCCAGAAAGAACTCTATATGCAATTTGAGTGTTGTTCTGTTGGGTGGCAGAATGTCATTTCAATTAGCATTGTTTTTCCCACAAAGAACCATCAGAAAAATGTTTGACTATATACCACTTCCGTCAAATGCTAGCATTTTCCCACATATTCCCTATTACCTCGATTGTGCAGTTATACAATGATGCCTGTTGTATCTGGAGATATTAAAGAATGAAATGCACAATAGAAATGACGATTCCAGGTAAGTAGGGATTATCCCTTAATGCTGATTAAAAATAAGTCAATGTTTTTGAAAATGTAACAGACACATATGTCATCTTAGACAACATATACAAATTGAAAATCCGTTGCTTTCTTTTGTGACTAGTGTTGTTATCATTGACTCAAGAAAAGTAGAGCTATCTGGCTTTCCATAAATGGTCCCAGTCTGCTCATGTTTAGAGCTATTTGTCTGCTACTTAAAAGGTCCTGACTGTACTCTCTAACTCTTCTAACAACCCCCATTCATTTTATC